CTGGGAGCTGAGGGCCACAGGGGCCTTGGAGTCGTGGGGCAGCGAAGGCAGCGGGGGCCCACGGGACTTACCCGCCCTGGGGGCCCAGGAGAGGGGGAGGACAGGAAGCCCTCTGCGAGGTCCCTTTCTTGTCAGGCCCCGTCAGTAGTGACACCTGTCATGGGCGGCCTGCCTGCTGGGAGCCGCTGCAGCTCCCGCCAACCTGCCTACCTCACGGAGCCCCTACCCCAGGTCTGGGGTGGGTGGCAACCAGTTCAGCTGGTTGCAGCGGGGTGCCCCGGGCCTGTGGGAAGCATGGGGGGTGTCTGCTCTGTTTCTGGAACCTGACATGGCCACAGATGGCTGGATTGTGCTTGCCCTAACAGAATAATTTTGGTTTAATGTGTCCGTTGTAACTTTGATAAGAGCACTTTCCTAACTTCGGTGTTAGAATCAGAATCACCTGGGGATGTTTTAAGTCACTCCATGCCCAGGCCACACCCCAGACTGATTAAAGCAGAATGTGGGGACTGGAATCTGGGTGTCGGTATTCGCTGGCTGGAGATTTCATGGTGCAGCCGGTTACGTGGAGGGGGCTGGGCCTGGGCCTTTTCCTCAGAGCAGTCTCATGGTGACCTGTCTCATCCGGCGATGGTCCCTTTGGTTATCCTTGAGCTTTAAGAGACTTCACATCCAAAGTGTAAACCTGGCTTGAGCTGTGCTGCAGGGCTCAGGGGAGAGCCTTGGGGTGCACGGTAAGAGGGGGGCAGTAGCTCGTTTAGGCTGACCCGGCGGCTGGGCACTGCATGAGCGTGTCAGCGGTGGCGTGAACAGTGACCACAGGCAGAGCCAGGAGCGGCATCCAGGGCCAGGAAGTGGCAGACATATAGTGGTGTCACAGACTGACTTGGAACCCCTGGGAACCCCTCTGCTCCCAGGACTGTCCAAGGCCCCAGCACCCCAGAAAATGGGGCTGGAGGTTCTGTGTGGAGGGGCGGGAGGGAGGGGCTCAGAGGTATTAGCATTTGGACATTGCGATAACTGAGACCTCTCGTGGCTGATGAGCAGGTGAGCCTGCCACGGACTGGCCAGTCGCCCACAGCACCTCCTCACGTAACTGCGGTGAGATGCTGTATCACGAAACTAGCTTTACCAGAGGCTACGTGCTGCACAAAAGAGCTATGTCCCTGTGGCGCCTCCTCAAGGTGACGCCAAAACGGCGTCGAACGAGACGTTCTCCGAGCGCCTGCCGAGGCTCCAGTTCTGGCCGAGTTTCCTAGGGATGCCCCACTGCCAACCGTGCGGAAGGTTCTCCTGGGCCTGAAGTGTCACACGGGAGCCTTGCTGGCTGCTGCGGGGAAGGGGGTGCATGAAGCAGTCTTTCCAGCAGCCAGGCGGCCTGGGGACGGCGGGCTGGGACGCCAGGACACTCTGTCATGCGTGTCGTGTTGAGTAGTAGCTTCTCCGAGTAAAAGGCTCTTCCCTGCTGGTGCGTCATAAGTGGCAATGGCCTAGTCAGGCCGTGCTGGTCATCACCTGGGTCGTCCCCAGACTGGTTTGCTCTGACCTCCCTGAGAACTCTGGGGCGAAGCGAGGCAGTGGCCTCAGCTGAGCGAGAACCAGTCGTTTTGAAGCACCTGTAACATACCTGTTTACCTTTCCCCAAATCCTCATCAACAGAGCCACCCTGTCCTTCCAGCTATAATTTCAAGCACTGCGTCTCCATAGTGATGATTCAGGCTGCCGTTGCCATGGTGACCGTTCTACAAGCGGAAACACTTCCATCAATCCTTCCCCTCCATATGATGTAGAAATTGAATGAATATGTAATATGCGATCATATATAAAGACCCATATTAATAAACTCCCATAGCATGTACAAATATTCTCTGGTTAACAAGTGTCTTGTCAAGCATTAGGGGTTCGAGGAGTACAGTCCTGTTCTGCCATGACTCGTCCCGCATACGCGATGACAAGTCACTTGAGGGCTCCGAGGACCAACTGACTCCCAAACGCGGGGTTTCCGGGAGCCGTGTGAGAGAGGGCAGCTTTGGTCTGAAGCCGAGAGGCACGGGGACGATGCTGCCCAGGTGTCCCCTCCTGGGAGAGAAGGAAGCACAGAGATCTGGCCACCCCCGAGGACAGGAAATGACAGGAGAGAGAATGTGCGGTGCGTGAGCACTCACACACACGCTGTGAAGTGTGGCGCGATGAACTCGACTCGTGAACCCACTTAGTTCTCCCGCCCTGCGGTACAGAAAGGAACGAGGGGGCGGACAGGGAACAGGAAGTCCCCAGGTCCGTGCCACCCAGGGAAGGAGAAGACACTGTGCCCAACCTCAAAACTGTCGAGAGCTTGGGGCAGCAAAGTAGACGGGGAATGGTTAGGGACCACACCGGAAGTGTGAGGACAAGGCAGGAAGGCGATCAGAGCCCTAGCTAAGGCGGTGGCGGAAACAGGTCCCTAAATGCAGAGCCAGCTGACTGTAGCCAAGGAGATACGCTGGTTTGTGGAAGCGTCTGGTGGGTTTTTCATGGGATCACCATGAAAACAGCCTCCCTGATGCCCAGGACTCTGTGACTGTAGGGAGCAGCTTTTGGGGTGCAGTAGCCGATACCTGTTGCTGTTACTGTGTTTTGTCTGCCAGCACCCCTTTTCCCACTTCAGTTGATAACGCCTTCCTCTCTCCTTGGGAGAAATGTGGGGATCCGCTATCCAGTCCACCACAGAATGTCATCCTCCTGGCCATAAATGGACTTGCCATCTCTCTGGCCACGATGATTAGCTCAGAGATGGGCACGTGACCCAGTGCGGGTCCATCACAGCCTTCCCCAGGGTTGTTCCCGTGAGTAAGGCCTTTCACGTGTCTGGTCACAAGAGCTGGAATATCGTGACTCTTGGACTACTAGTGGCTATATTCCTGCTCTGTCCTCTCTGAGGGGAAAGGTAGACAGAAGAAGACAGGTAGATGCGAGCGATGGACAGAGAGCGTCTGAGCACATCAGGACCCAGAGCCGGCTCGGTTCCCGTGACTCTTCTTTCCCGTGATCTCCCCCAGATCTTTCTAGCACACCACCTCCATCCCCACCTTTATCTACCTTAAGCTAGTCCCAGCCGGCTTTCTGTCATTTGCAGTCAAAAGATTTGTACTAACACCACTGCAGAAGGAACGGAACTGCAGTGACTGTCCCTTGGCACGAAGGCATGAGGAAAACCAGCCGCCTAGACCACAGTGCCGACACCAAGCAGCTCTGGGGGCGGGCGGGTGGTCAGAACGCTCATTCTGCATAAATTCCATTCAGTCGAACAAAGGCCTTTACGAGAACGGTGCTAGGCGGAAGTCGGTGTATGTCTTCTTCTGGCTTTTCTCTGCTGGACACTGAACATCTCAGGAAGAAACAAAATGAGCCAGGAAGAGTCCATGGGTGCTGAGAGGGAGAGGGATAGAAGAGAGAAAGAGAAAGACAGGGAGGGAGAGAGAAATTGCTTCATCTTTTTATAGCCAAAGGCCAGGGACTGGACTATTTATGTCCCTTGGTTGCACGGTTCTGTGACATAGGTTTCGCTTGCTGATGAGAAGCTGGCTTCAGTGGAATTCCGTAGCATCGACTCTGTCCTGACTTCAGAAGCTCTTTGTATCTCAGTGGTGTTAAAAACACACTTTGAAATAGCTTTAAATCAAAGGAGGCATGTCCCTCATTCCCACTTGTCCCCGAGCAAGAAACCTGAGGTTTTCTCCACGTGGTACCTACAGAAAACTGCCCTGAAAATGTAATATGGCAAGGTCTAAAGCTTCAAAACATACAGAAAAATGCGCCACTTCTAAATAAAGAACTTATGCACTTTGATTTGTCAAAAGTGAATTCATACAAGGCCTTTTAAGAATATACCTCAAACAATTAAACTCAGCACCTTCAAGTCTTGGAAAGTTGCCGCTGGTGTGTGCCCTCTGATGCCTGCCACTAGGTGGCGAGTCAGGCTAACTCACATCCGTCTCTGAGCCACTTGCCAGCTACCCACCTACCTCTGCACCCCCAGCCAGCCGCGTTTGGTGTGAGTCATGGCAAGCCACCTAATACACTCAGGAGATGCTTCAGACCAGTGCAGCAGAAAATGTAACTTCACATAAATGGAGAGATGAGTATTATTAGGATGACTCTGCCAAGATTTTTCAGAACCTGAAATCAGCCTGCTTCTTTATTGCTTGAACATATATAAAAATATGACTTTTACATTAAACGCATGGGAATTAGTAGGGTATAAACATAAAGTTATTTTCCTCCACAATGGCCTAATTCTAGGCCACTTTATGGGTCTCGTCCTTCCTTGCTTCTCGAATGAAATCTAGACCCCCTATTTCTGTGGTCACTCTTGAATAATAAATGGTCTTCTGCTCACTTTTAACGCCCTCCCCCATTGTCTCATGTCTGTAATTAGAACAGCGATTCTTTGGCAATGAGCGAACTCTGAACGATACGTAAGGTTCTAGCTCCTTGCCCTCCCCTGTCTTGGGCTCACTGTAGCTTAGAGGCTGGCATGAGAGAGAAATGCGTGCACCGTCTAGATTTTTCCCCCTTAGCACTTCCTTTCCTTCGTCATCCACTCACTCGTTCCTCTCGGACCCTCCGGGATCCATACACATATGTGGAGTTATTATGGAGAGACAGAGCACAGCTGAGGAGCTGAAAGGCCTTTATCGATTGGGACCAACATAATATGGCATCTAGCCAACATGAGTTCACAGGCGAAAACTATAAAACATACAAGGAAACAGGAAACCATGAGATGGTCTGTGCGGGGCGGGAGAGTTAGCATGGAATTCATCCAGTTTATAAAAATCTGTAAAAACGTACGTCATACTCTGTCACCCCCACAGTGGTTATTTATTCCTCTGTTACGGGACTTAAAACAATCTGAGGCAGTCATGTATGGTATGATTTTTTTTTCTCTGCTGGGGCCATTGAATGTCAGATCGTGGTTAAACATAGTTGTGTTATTTATGATTTCTTGACAACATACGTAGGTGGAAATGCTTTATTTAGTTTAAAACATTACAACGAAATCCACTTTGCATGTTTGACACGGAAAAAGATCGTGGGCAACAGCGACACAAACATTTCAGCTTTGCTGCCACAGACAAGGCACGAGAACTGGGCAGGTGACTCCCACGAAGCAGATTTCTGAGCCCTCGGTGTCCCCGTTTCTTCTCACGTGGCAAGGTCTCACGGGGCAATGTCTAATGCTTTTGTTGACAAAGTGGCTTTTCCTTAAAGCTACGGTGAGAGAGACGCGGTGTCCCAGCCATCCCAGGAGGAGGTCCAGCCCCACCCACCAGCGCCTACGAGCTTCTGAGTAAACGGCGTGTTGTCTCCCTCTAGACCCGACCCCGCAAGTTCTGCCTAAAACCCAAACGCAGTGAAGTTGCCAGGTACTGTGCTCCTAAGCGGGTCGCCCCAAGGCCCGGAATCCCGAGCCCAGATGAATTGTTCTCTGCTCAGAAGTTCCTCTTTGAGGGGGCCTCGCAAACCTGGAGCACGTTTTTATCGAAGCCGTTCCGCCTCAGAGCACGGCCAAGGAAAGAGGAACGCGCCTCGGGCGAAGCCGACGCCTGTCACGGCGGCAGGTGACGATGGCGCTGGGCTGGGTGGACTGCAGCCCGTCACGGCGGCAGGTGATGATGGTGCTGGGCTGGGTGGACTGCAGCCCGTCACGGCGGCAGGTAAGGACAGGTGATGGGCTGGGTGGACTTATCTTCCTCCCTAGCTTCACTCCCCCGATGGGCGCAGTGCGTGTCCCCTCACTGCATGTTGACCCATGCAGAGAATCGGCCAGGTCCCCGTCCCCCGGGAACCACAGGAACCGGAGAGAGCCCGAGACAAGTCAGTCAGGAGGCCTGGCTGTCACTTTAAGAGGCATGTGACTCTAGGCAAATGACTCAGGCTTTGTCAGCCTCCGTTTTACATTCTGTTTGATGGGACCACACGGGCACCCTGGGCCACAGAGCTGGTGCACGTGAAAGTGGTGTGTACACGTGATACGCCGTGGAAATCCTACAAATAGCGTGAACCTCATCAGCTTCAGGCAGTGCTGACATCCAGGCCGCTGCCTACAGCAGCTCGGTATCACCCTCGCTGCACGCTGACGTTAAAAGCCTCTGAATTCGAGCTCCGTTGATCAGCTTCCCGGGTGACAAGGAGCCAGGGTCCTGGCAGGGCCCTGAGCCCCTATATTGGTGAATCTGGATCTCTGCATCCTAGAAATCAATTTCAAACTCTTGTCAGATTCCGGCAGCATGTAAATCTGGTGTTGGAAGGCTATGTAATGTAGAATTTATTATTCTCGTCCGCCCTACTTTGGATCTTAAGGAAGACGTGGGTGTTGACCAGCCTGGTTGATAATTTGAATGTTTCAAAAATGATTTATTTCTACCATTTCCCCAATGGTATCTGTCTATCCACCGTCTAAGTTTTGCTCAGAATGATATCGAGGCAATGAGAAAATTACCTGTGATTCTTGTCAGATCTGAGGCTGTCGCAACAGACCACTATTCTAGAATCGAAACACCTAGAAGAGCCTCGTGGGGTGTGCTCTGAGCTTTCCTTTCTCTCTGCCTCACACAGTTCTCCTGGCCTTGGACTCTGGTGAGCCAGTCACCACTGGCACAGCCAGCCTGCCTGGGCGCTCTGCCACTGCCAGCCCCAAGGGGGTAAGAGGGACCTCCCCAGGACGTTCGAGGAAAAGCTTTCGAAGCCCAGGGATGCCTCAGAACCAGCCGTTTGGGCTGCGGCAGGGGCGTGATGTGGTGTAGTGTTTCCCGGATGCATCTGATCACCGGACTCCTGAGACGCGTGTCAAGCCCCAGATCCCGGCTCCAGACCCGTCGGCCGACCTCCAGGGCAGGGCCCAACGACACACGTCAGACAGCGATCAATAATCGCACGTTTAGGCAACTCGAGGAAACACCGATCCAGCAGGAAAGACCCGGAGGCGTGGAGTCCGAAGACCTAATGAGGTTTGCGACCTCAGGGACAGTGGCACTGGTTTGCTTCTCCCTCTGTAAAGAAAGTGGGGGGC